TTAAATAGCTGATCTATTTGGATAAATTGCCCTTTTAAAAATAGTGTCTCAAGAGTATTCTAAATAGTGGTCCAAAATAGTGCACAAAATAAGTCTACATTGTCTTAGATGAAATTAGGGAAATATTATTTAGGAAACGTATACAATGAGATCATTTATATCTGGTACATAGAGGCTGTAATTAATCTTTACCGTTGGACATGAAATTGATTGGCTGAATTATTTTATTAACTAAACTCAAATTTCAAAAGAAGCCTTTTCGAACTATGAGAGATATCCAAATCGTTAGATTTCACATCCAAACTGTAAGATTTCACATCTAATTATTATAAATAATTATAATCTCCTTATACCAAGATAGAGAGTCTCGTAGTATATGTTCTCTATTATTTAAGGGGCCAAAACCCTATACAAAATCACTTAAGTTGTTTGAAGAACTCAATCAATATTAAGGGGTTTACTTCCTATGCAATGGCTATGTGGCCCTTGCAGGCCATAAAAAAGTAGGGTTGGGCCACCAAATGTGGCTAGAGGGTTGGGCCATAGTAGGCTCGGATTAAATTATTAAAATGCCCTACACACTTCTTGGGTTACAAATACAAAATAAGGGTAATTTGGATATTATTTAAGAATTCTTGAAAAATCCCTAGGTGAAAGTGCTTTTAAATACTTAATTCAACCACCTCATTGATTCTTTAAAATAATATTTTTTCAAAAAATAATTGGTTTTTTACTGCAAAATAATTTACCTTTTTTTTAAAATAATTACGTTAATCTATGCTCTTAACAGAAAAATATGCATATAAAAGCTATAATATTTTAAAAAATACTCATCTATAATTCTAAAGCTTCAGACCTCGAGTTAGTTGTTTCAAGATTTGCTATTAAACTGAATGAAACTTAGAAGGCTGTGTTCTTATTGGAAAAGTTTATATGGAGTCGAGGCTCTAAACTATCAATTTGGAGCCTACCAGAAAAATTTCACTAGAAGAGGTTGTTTTGATGCCCAAATATCCTCAAATTGATCATCTCGACATCAAGATGTATGGATAATAAAAAAAATGGATTTCAAGTTTTGGAAATAGTGTATTTTGTAACACATTTTTGGACCGTCAATTTTCAAGATTTTCAAGTTTTCATAGATCTATAGA